GGCCCGGCCCCGCCGCCTGCACAGGGGCTGGGCCCGCGCCCACTGCCTCCCTCCCCTCTCCACCCCCGGCCCAGCCCCAGCCCGGGCCGCACCGTCCCCGCCACTCACTGACAGCCGCGGCATCTGAGTGCATTTTCGTGCGGCGCACACCCGGCACGGCACGGCCCGGCTCCCTCCGCCTCTCCCAATCACAGCGCCCAGGCTCAGAGCCTTCTTGGCCCGCCCCCGCGCACCGCCCGTTGGCTCTCGCAGACTCACGCAGCCGCCCGTCTGGCCGCGCCATTGGGCCCCGCCTCTGTCAGTCTCGCACTGCCCAGCCCACCCCACCTGTCACGCCCCCCTCTGCCACCCTATTGGCCAAAGTCCTGAGTGAATCCCGCCTCCCTCCCAACCTGATTGGATTGTGCTGATGGCAGTTATTTCTGGCTCGGAAAGCGCGTGCAAAGAACACCACTTTGTGTAGCCCGTGGATCTGATTGGGCCAGGAGAGGCTTAGACCACGCCCCCTCCCTAGCGTGATTGGCTAAGAGGGGCAGAGGCAGAGCTACAGGCTCTTAGTGGGCGGGGCTGGAACGGAGCAAGTGCCCCTTGTGGGGGGAGCAAGTGGCCGAAGCGGCGTGGGGGGAGGTGGGCTGGGCGGCTGCTGCGCGTCCGTCCTCGCTGGGGAAAGGACCCCACGTCTGGGCACTGGGGAGGGGAACAGAGGTAGGAGGGCGGGTCTTGCCCGTCCTTCGGCCCCTCTCCTCCCGGCGTCATTTTAATCTAGAACAACGACAGTTTGAACCTTTTTCTTAATAAAATGTCATACGTGTTGGGGCGACAGATGTACATGGGGCTTTTGATGAAACGACTGCACCTCCCAGCTCCTCATTTTCCATTTCTTTAAAATGGGAATCCAAGCCCCATGGGTGTTGCCCCTGCCATGTACCTGCTGTCCTGTAGGGAATACAGCTTGGGTGAGGCAGTGGAAAAACCAATGCAGATTCATTACAGTGCATGTGCGCAAGGGAGAAGAAATGCTATCAATCTGTTTTCCTGCTATAACAGCCTTTAGCTGCTGCCAGCTCATGTGGGACTTAGTCTTGTAGCTGTTGTAGAAATTGCGATGGTGTTCACAGGACCTTATGGAGGGTTGTTATAGAAGCACATAGTAGGATTGCGCTTTAGCCTTTAAATGTCTTAAGAAATGATTCCAGCAAGACTAAATTACAAGAAAGTCAATACAGCGAAGGAGTCCAAAGTTAGGAAACAGCAGGTTCATAGTATTTCTGCTTTCTTCTGCATACGTATCAAAGTCCTTAACAGTCTTTCAAGCCTGGGAGGGGGTTGACTCCATCCCCTGCTTTTGCTTCCACCAGGTGGTCTCAGCTGGCCCCCTTCAGACTGATGGTGGCCAGGGATGCATCTGCTGTAGACCTGGACATCTGCCCTTGACCATTGGATGTTGCTGGATCTTGTGGCAAAGCCAGAAATAGAGTCCACTACAAGCCTATTGCACCTATTAAAGAGCCTTCTTTCCTGCACATGCACAACTAATATTTGTTGAACAAGTTTAGATGCTAACTCTGAAGGTAGAGCACGCTACATTATATCTACATAAAAGTTGTTATAAAATCATAAATTTTGTGCCACATTGCCAAGGCTAGTAAAAACAGGATTTTTTTTCTGTTTGCAAGTGGTATTTTCCCTGCTTTCATTATCTTTTATATTTTAGCAATTGGCATTCATGCTACATCACTACCGTGCCAGAAAATTCCAGCACTCAAGTAAAGGCAGCAGCAGCAAATCCTGATTTCTTATGCCTTGCTTTTCTGTATAGGATATTCATCATAACAGCAAGTCTAAACTACCTTCACAACTCTTGGCAAGCAAAAGGGGCACAGAAAATTGAATAATTCTTCATTTCTTAATCTCTTCTTCCCATTGCTCCAACTATATCTCCATGACACTTACATTGGATGCAAGAGGACCTTTGTCTTCTTATATTCATGCTGCTTATTGGTTTTAATTAATAGTTAAAATGACTAATACACAAAGGAAACCATAGATTGTACAAGGTATGGGCCAAGTTGCAGAGGGTAACAGAAATCAAAGTTGCCTTTACTTCTCTCTTGCCATCAAAAACATGGAGAAGAAAACTGAAACATGGTTTTCCTCTGTCACTTCAAGCATTGACCCAATTTTCTGGGAATCATGCTGTAAATTGCTGAAGACACCAAGTGTCTACAAAGCAGTTGCTTATCTCTTGCGTTGCTTAAAGCCAGGCTTGAAAATAATTTGGCTCCAGGAAACAATCATAGGGGTACAAAAAATTCCACATTTTAAAATTAAGATGATGTTGGGAACTGCATTGGAAAAAGCAACTGAATCACAGCAGCAGAACAACAAGATGAGACAGAGAGAAGCAAAATACATACAGAAAATATAATGGCCACTGGTCTCAGTAACTAATGGCAGGGCTGTCCAATGCATCCCCTGGGCTTCCCACTCAGCCACCACTATTCCTTGGTCTGGCTACAGCAGCAGCCCAGGTCTTGGGGCTCCCCCTCACTTCTGTTGCTGCCTGACCCAACCCCAAGGGGCAGTTGCCCATGGCAACAGCACAGCCCATGGTCTTGGGCAAGCTGGCAGCCTGAATGCTAATGCAGCACAGTGCCAAAGGAGTCAAGTAGCTACAGATGAGGCAGGGGCTTGCGCCATGTAGGGGGTGGTGGATGGGCATGCCCACACCTCCACACATACAGTGCAGCAGGGTGGGGAAGTATTTGTCTGCAGAATGCAGAATAGAGGTGGGAAAAATATGGCCTGTGGGCCAGATGCAGCCCACCAACTCATTGGATCCATCCCATGGCTGTCCCCCTGGCACTCTGCATGCGCCCAAGCTCTGCCTGAGGCAGCCAGTGCTGCGTTCTTGCCCATTTCTGCTGGCCCTGGCCCTGGCCCTGGCCCTGGCCCTGGTCCCAGCCAGTGTGCACAGCTTCTGACAGGGCTGCCTCCCAGGTGCTGCTGGGCTCCTCTCACCTCCAGCAGTGGCTCCTGCCCCTGCTGCACCACTCTGGGTGGCGAGGAAGTTGCAGTTGGGCAGCTCCTGCCCCAGCACATGGGGGTCTGGCTCCAGCTCCTGGCATGGACAAGCAGAGTGAGTAGAAGCCAGCTGGGAGCTGGAGCCAGAGCGCTGTGCACTGGGGCAGGAGCCACCCAGCTGAAACTTCCTCCCCACCGAGACTGGCGCAGCAGGGACAGGAGCAAAAGTAGGAGCTGTTGATGGAGATGAGAGGAGCCAAGCAGCACCCAGGCAGCTGCAGCCATAGCAGAAGCAGCCCCACTAGAAGTTGTGTATGCTGGCTGGGGTGGGTGTGGGCAGGAGCATGGTGCTGACTGCCCAGGATGGGACCACAAAGTTCTCGGCCCCATACGGACAGCCACAGGGGCAGCTGTGGACCACGCCACCAGGGCAAGCTCTGCTGCATGCGCCCCTTGCCCCCTCCCTCCTTTCCTCCCTCCTGGGTGGCTCCCAGGACCTAGCACCTAGGCAGCGCCACCCCCCCATGCACACCCCCCCAACACACTACCCACACATCTCCCACAGGGCAGGGGTATGCAAGCAGCAGATAATAGCTCTGCCCTGAGCCCTGGCCCTGCACATCCCTTCCCCACAGCCATGCCCCATGATCCTAGCCTCCTGGCCATCCTGCTCCTAAACACCACTCCCCACCCCACTACAGTCCCATCCCACATAGGGAGTTTTGGTGAGTTGTTGCGGGGGGGAGGGGTGCTGACCCAGCCCATGACAGCGCATCAGAACTCCCTATGAGGTCTGTGGCCTCAAATAATTACCCACCCCTGGTGTAGAGGTTTGGGGGGCACCCATCTGCTCACGTACATGGTGCAATGGGGTGGGAGGTACCCACCCACATACGTATATGACATGCAATCTGGGGGGCCCATGGCCCCCACAGTGTATGGTCCCTGCTGGTGTGGGCTGTAGGGCATGCAGCTCCTAGCCACTTAGAAGTTGAACAGCCCTGATTTAGGAGTATAGAAATTTGTCTGGTGCCCAGTACAAATATAGTTTTACATGGTGCTTCTGAAAAGATTACTCAGTTTAGGAATTGCAACAAAATTCCACAAGAGTGAGCTGTGTTCATGTCTAAACTCATATTTATTCATATATTACTCTCCAGGATGAAGAAGGCCCCTATTGGTTGAGAGGGAGTACCACATTCTATGTAACTGATTTCATATCATTCAACTCAGAATACAGGCAGACATCACAGTTGCCCCATTCCAAAAATGTCACTGATTGGAAACCTGTTCACATTTGTCCATGGGCAGAAGTGTCCACATGTACACTGCTATGGGTTCTAAGTAGAACCCACACATTCTAGGGGCTGCACTGCTGCTGACCCACCAATGAGGAGGTAGAGTACCCAGACCATCAAGCCTTCCAGTGCTTAAAGTTTCCCCAAGATTCCACTAGAAAGGGAGGAAAACCTGGATTAGCTGGTTGCCAAAAAAGAGGAAGACATTATGGTGTCCAATTGCAGTTTCTCTTCCCCTTCTCAGAATTAAAAAAATAAGATGGATAGAGTTTAATAAAGATTATAATTGCACTTTACAAAAACCTCTGTGATAGCTTCTTGACTGGGCATGCACAAATGTATGTGGGGTGGTAAACCTGGACCCCATGACAGAAAATGGACCTCACTTGGCAGGATCCCAGGCTCATTTGGGATAGAGGTGGGAGTAGAGAGGTTGTCAGAGACTAGAGGGCTGTGTGACCCCCTGCTTGTGGTTCCTGGGGTGCAGGGTGTTCCAGGCCCCCCAAGATCTCTACAGCTTTTCAACCCCTGTTCTGGAAAGGGGTTGATTTCACCTCCTTGCTAGAGCCCTGGCTTGTCCCCTACTTGTGACCACAGGCTGGGTGCTATGGGGTTTGTCAATGGTTTGAAATGTCATGAAAATCTTGGGGTGCCCTGAGCACCCAACCCCTCACAAATCCTTCCTCCTCCCAAATGTATTTTATGCTCCTCACTCACATAAAAATTGGTTTACTTCATTGCTCTGACTTCCCAGTTTCTGAATTACTGTAGATTCTGACTTTGATAGTGCCCAGTATAGTGCATTGGACACAAATATGGTACCAGTGCACACCAAAGGACACAGTTAAAAGGTGGTAGTAGTTTATCTTTAACTCTTCACATTTAGATATATAGTGTTT